TTGTTATTATTATTATTATAATTTATGGATTTAAACCCAAAGATCAATTTTGCTAAAGGATCTAGTGCAAGAGCACAGATTAATGAAGAATTTTATGATCCCAAATGGGATGAATTTAGATTGTGGTATTTCAAAAATTTCTCTAAAGAAGAATTTGAATACTTTATTAATAGTTTTTATGAATTCTGTGAAAAACATAATGAGATTATATATTATGTTCCTTGGTTCTTTAATACATTTGTCAAAGAATACATTTCTGTTATTGAAAGAGATTATAAGACACAAACAGGACAAATACAAAAATCTGTTTTCCCTCCGCAATCAGCTTTTCAAATAGAAAAAAATAACAAACAAATTAATTTTACTGCTTTTTCAAAATTACTTGAAAATGATATGCTTCAAATTACTACAAGACATATAAATCAACTTTTTGAAAAACAAAACTTCACCAACCTTTATTTAACTATTCTTGGTGAAGAAATCATATCTTTACAAGATAGAGTAGAAAGAATAATTTCTGCTATAAATCAAATTAAACCAGATGTTCATATACAAACTAGAAAGGAAACTGATATAGTTTCCATTGCTTCTTCTTCCATCCAGCCTCCTCCTGAAGTCAGGGACTTTAAATTTAAAACCTCTGCTTCTCAACTTGAAAATTTTATAGAAGAAAAATTTAAAGCCTTTAACATTTCTGCTTTAGATGATGATACTAATAACATCGATAAGGTTAATAAAATGAAATGGGCTGACAAGCCTACTCATAATAAATATTATTATAACAGACCAACTCCTTTGGATGTTCTTCATGAAGAACAAGAATATATTATCTCAAATAGTTATAATGGGAAAAGCATTTATGAATGGAATGTTGATGGAAATACTGAAAAGCATATTTTTACTCTTGCACATCGTATGCTCATGTATAGTACTGTTTGCAAAACTGCTAATAATACTGACAAAAATATTGCCAAAATGATCATAGCTGGTTTTACTGGCCAACTTAAAGGATGGTGGGATAATTATTTAAGTCTCAACCAAAAAAATAATATTTTAGGATCCATTAAAAATGAAAATGTTAGTCAGGTAGAAAATGCTGTGTATTCTCTGATAACTACTATGATTGAACATTTTACAGGTAGATATACTGATAATAGTGATACTATACGTACCCTTCTTAGTAATCTAAGATGTAAAACTGTAACTGAGTTTAGATGGTATAAAGATATTTTTCTTTCTAGAATCTTTGAATTACCAGAATGTAATTCTGGTCATTGGAAAGCAAAGTTCATTGATGGCCTACCAAGTCTTTTCGCCGAAAGAATTAAGAAAATTCTTAGAAAAGATAATTTATCTATCCTCTATGATACATATACATATGGAAATCTCATAAGCATATGTATCCAAGAAGGATTATCCCTCTGTAATGATTTAAAATTAAATCAACAAATTAAGACTCAAAATCGTCTTGAAAAAAGACAACTTGGTCAATTTTGCAACCAATTTGGTATGGATATACCAAAAGTAAATAATAAGGAATTCTCTTTCAGAGAGAGAGATCCTAAACAAAAATTTAAGAAAAGAAAAGAATATAAAAAAGAATATAAAAACAAAGTAAGAGAAAGATATCCTTTTAAAAGGAATAAAAATTCTAAAAGAAACTCTTCTTTAATATGTCACAAATGTGGCAAACCAGGCCATTATGCTAATCAATGCTGGGCCAAAGAAAAAATAAAAAATCTTGACATCAATGATGACATAAAAGAAGAAATTTATGATATTATATTTTATAATTCCGAGTCAGAAGATAATCCTGAAACAGACTATAAATCTGATTTTTCTGAAAGCTCTAATAAGAAAATGGACAATGACTCCATCTTCTCAGAGGAAGAATGTGAGAATTGTAAACAAGGAAAATCTTGTATTAATCATATTAATAACACCAATGATAATAATGATGAATTTTATAGACTCATGTCACAATTTAAAGATTTAAATATAAATGTCCTCACTGATAACAATATTTTAGAATTCCTAAAAAGAATAAAAGATCCAAATCTAAGAACAAGTATTATTGATCAGATGGAAGATATACCTTCTACTTCTAAAGAAGCAGAAGATAATTATGTTCCTCCTTCAAATATATCTTATTCTATGGCAGAATTTAATAAGCTTTTAAAAAATAACTATACTAATCATAATACTGTTACTATACAAGATTTATCATATGAGATTGATAATTTGAAAAACGATATTAAAGTACTCAAAAGAGAAAATTCTCTCATTAATAATCGTATCTCTGACATTGAAAAAGGGAAAAATATTATTCAGGAAAATTTTGAGGAAATATCCTTAGAAAAAAATCATCTTTCCACAATTACTATGATCATATCCCAGAAATGGTATACTAGAATTATCCTTCTTATTGATAATACATATAAAAGAGAATTTATTGCCATGATTGATAGTGGTGCTGATTTGAATGTTATACAAGAAGGTCTTATCCCTACAAAATAGTTTCATAAAACTTCTCATTCCCTGTCACATGCTGGTGGAAAACCTCTCAACATAAGTTATAAACTTCCTAAAGTCTATATTTTTAAGGATAAAAATTGTATTCCTTCCAGCTTTCTTTTGGCCAAAGACATTTCTAGCCAACTCATTCTTGGTCTCCCATTTTTACATCAGATATATCCTTTGACTTCTGTTAATTCAAAAGGTCTCACAGGTACTTTTGAAGGAAAACCTATAATTTTTGAGTTTATAACAAAACCTATACAAAGAGTTCTTAATGAACTACAAGAGCATATTGACAGAAAAGAATTCCATATCAATTCTTTAAAAGAAGAAATTAGTTTTTTATCTAGTGATGAAAAACTTAAAAATCCCAAATTACAGGATAAGATTAAAATTATCCATAATAATTTCTCTGTTGAAGTATGCAATGACTTTCCAAATGTTTTTTGGGAAAGAAAGAAACATATTGTTTCCTTTCCCTACGAAGAAAATTTTAAAGAAGAAAATATTCCTACCAAGGCTAGACCTTGTCAAATGAATTCTGAATATTTGGAGTTATGCAAAAAGGAGATAAAATCCCTTCTTGACAAAAAACTTATTTCTCCCTCTCAGTCCTCATGGTCCTGTACTGCTTTCTATGTTAATAAACATTATGAACAAGAAAGAGGTGTTCCTAGACTTGTTATTAATTATAAACCCCTTAATAAAGTTTTAAAATGGATTAGGCATCCTGTCCCTAATAAAAAGGATCTTCTGGACAGACTTGTCCATGCCCTAATCTTCTCTAAGTTTGATTTAAAATCTGGATTTTGGCAAATTCAGATTGATAAATCTGATAGATATAAAACGGCTTTTAATGTTCCTATTGGACATTATGAGTGGAATGTTATGCCTTTTGGATTAAAAAATGCCCCTTCAGAATTTCAACAAATTATGAATGACATTTTTACCCCTTATAGTGATTTTATCATCGTCTATATAGACGATATTCTTGTCTATTCTAAAGACATTGAAAATCATTTCAAACATCTGGAACTTTTCAAAAAGATTGTTATACAAAATGGTCTTGTCATTTTAAAACCTAAGATAGTTCTCTTTCAAACAAGCATTAAATTTCTCGGTCATAACATTGAAAAGGGAAATATTATTCCTATTCAAAGAAGCATTGAATTTGCATCAAAATTCCCTGATATTATTACTGATAAGACCCAGTTACAAAGATTCTTAGGATGTCTGAATTATATTTCCCCTTATATTGAAAATCTCAATAAAGACTCATCTGTTCTTTATGATAGGTTAAAGAAAAATCCTTTACCTTGGTCTGATAAACATACTGAGGCGGTTAGGAAAATCAAAGAGAAGGTTAAAAATCTCCCCTGCTTAATGATTGCTAATCCCCAATGGGAAAAAAATATTGAAACTGATGCTTCTGATATTGGATTTGGAGGAATCCTCAAACAAATTAATCCCCAAAATAAACAAGAATATCTTGTTAGGTTTTATTCTGGTAAGTGGAACAATGCACAAAAGAATTATTCTACTGTTGCAAAAGAAATTCTTGCCATTGTTAGAAGTGTTCTTAAATTTCAGGATGATTTATATAATCAGAAATTTATTATTAAAACAGATTGTCAGTCTGCAAGATTCATGTTTATAAAAGATTTTAAATATGATGTTTCAAAACAAATGTTTGCTAGATGGCAAGCTCATTTAGCACCTTTTGATTTTCAAATTATCTATAAACGAGGGGAAGAAAATCATCTTCCTGACTTCTTAACTCGTGAATACCTGACATGTCTAAATCTTCAGGAATGAGTG